TTCTTTTTCTGAAACACGTCATTTCTTGTTCTGATGAGCCTTTGCAATTCTGTGTCGCATTTTCCATCGTCTGATACTGATTACCGCTATTCCACATGATAGACTCCGCTTGACGGACGCGACAGAATTAATGAAGTCATAATCGCAAGATAGCAGTAATTATAGCCGAACGCGGGAAAACCAAGAACAAGAAAACGGCTTAATTACCGCCATTATTAAAAGCCATTTTTTTTTTATCCCATACATATAGTTCATCGAAATCTATGAAGAAACAAGGCCTCACAGATCTTAGATTTATATAAATGTCAGTAATCAGTGCATCGTCTTATTCAGTGTGCTCTGCATTTGGTGAGATCGTGAAAAAAAAAACATCCCACTTGAAAGACAATGAAAATGTAGAAAGTAATAATTGTAATTACCGAATGATTACATAAATAAACCAGTGATACTCGTGCGAATAAAAATTAATGTTATCATGTGGACAGCTAGGGGTCAGTTACGAAATCTGTATTCAAACGCGAACATTATAACAGCCAACATACGTAATAAAAATTTATGAGTTCCTTTATAGCTGAAGTCTTAACATTGTTTGCACACTAAAAGTAGCAGATCGAATAAAGTCGATTTTAGCCCCCGCAGATGAAAATATATCAGCAAATCCCAAGTACGAGATAACTCGTAGTCGGTATCATAATAAAGATAAACAGCCATAGATTGACAGTTAACATGTTAAACAAAGTTTACTTGTAAACATACACTACAGGCAAAACGTTTGGCGCCACCGTCTATTTCTTTTTTGGTCATCATTTGTGCCAGTTAATATCTTTAAGAAATATTGCACCCCAATGTAACGAATATTCCACCCCAAAATCTTCAACATATTAGCAATTTGTCTTTGAGAGTAGCCTTTTTTTTAATAAAATTTCAATTTTTGTTCTCACCTCATTGTTTAGCTGATTTGATTTTGCCATTTTGTGGAAATTACTTCATAATTAAAAACTAACTAAATAAATAAAAACGATGAAAAACATTATCGAAATGGCGCAATCATTTTTCTGCAAACAAAGACAACTACATGTGTTTTGTTTTACAAAATTAGCCAGTACTTAATTAAGATTTAGAACATGTATGAATATTTTACTTCGTCTACTGAGAGGTTAATGGGGAATATATATAGATATACACACACACACACACATATATATATATATATATATATTCCCCATTAAATATTATATATATATATATATTTATTCCCCTTTAAATATTAAATAATAATGGTTCTAAGCTCAGTGTTTACTTTACACACACACACACACACACATATATATATATTTATTATATATATATATATATATATATATATATATATATATATATATATTTATATATATATATATATATATATATATATATATATAAAAAAAAGCAATTACAAAATTGCTCAGTTAGGTAATAGATGCTACTCTCAGGATTTAGGCGACGGATCTCCAAGAAATCATTCCATCTACTCGTCAGGGGTTATCATCAATGGATTACTGGATTTATTTTTAATGCAACATTTTTATTACTAAAAATGTCTTTGAAGTAATATATAAATATATATTCGACACTCCCATCGTATTCGACGTATGAGTTGTGAAGCAGCTCAGTTCCTAGGAAGCAAGAGCCAGTCAACAGCACATGTGATTTGATTATAGATTATAGTGGTAAAGGTTTTGTGCAGAACCATCCACACTTTTTGAAGGGCCGAATAGAGAGACCTGGTGCACTACGTGACACAAGGTCCCCAAACAACCATCCGAAGGTTTTGAATTCAGAGTTCAGAGGAAAAAAATGACTTGAAAATGAGGTCAGTGAAAAAACTGACTTGAAAATGAAATTGCACGTGAAAGCTGGGAGACAACTTGCTCCACCAGGACTGAAAGTTAGAATGTTAGAGAGGAGATCATCATCTTGAATAAGTTTAAAAATGATCCTGGAAGATATATATATATATATATATATATATATATATATATATATATATATATATATATATACTTGAATTAATTTCAATCCTTCATGATTGATGATTAATTGTTACGATTAATTAATGATTAATAATCACTTTCGTTTATAATCGATTTTATCACGATTGTTCTGTTAAGCTGGGAGAGTAATTAAACATTCTTATTGCTCAAAGTTTAGTTCAATAGTGCTATAGTAACCTCGGAGAATTCCAGTAACATATCTTTAATCACTTCTAACATACAAAGTTTCAAATCTTAATCTAACAATTGAACAATTTTGCTGTTACACTCGGAATATATATATATATATATATATATATATATATATATATATATATATATATATATATATATATATATATATATATGGTGCATATATATATATATATATATATATATATATATATATATTTATATATATATACATATATGGTGCATATATATATATATATATATATATATATTTATATATATATATATATATATATATATATATATATATATATATATATATATATATTTTTTATATATATATATATATATATATATATATATATATATATATATATATATAGTTTATATATATATACAGTATATATATATATATATATATATATATATATATATATATATATATATATATTATATATATATATATAGTGCATATACATATATATATATATATATATATATATATATATATATATATATATATATATATATGGTGCATATATATATATATATATATGGTTTATATATATATGCATATATGTATATATATATATATATATATATATATATATATATATATATATATATATAGTATATATATATATATATATATATATATATATATATATATATATATAATATAGTATATATATATATACAGTATATATATATATACAGTATATGGTATATATATATATATATATATATATATATGACTATATAGTTTATATATATATACAATATATAGTGCATATATATATATATATATATATATATATATATATATTTATATATATATACAGTATATATTTATATATATATATATATATATATGCATATATATATATATATATATTTATATATATATATAGTATATAATTATATATATATATATATATATATATATATATATACAGTATATATTTATATATATACATATATATATATATATATATATATATATATATATATATATTTAGTATATGGTTTTATATATATATACAGTATATAGTTGCATATATATATATATATATATATATATATCGTTTATATATATATACAGTATATGGTGCATATATATATATATATATATATATATATATTTATAGTATATGTGCATATATATATACAGTATATGGTGCATATATATATATATAGTATATATTTATATATATATATATATATATATATATATATATATATATTCATAGTATTTATAGTGCATATATATATATAGTATATGGTTTATATATATATATATATATATATATATATATATATATATATATATATATATATTGCATATATATATACAGTATATGGTGCATATATATATATATATATATATATATATATATATATATATATAAGTATATTTATATATATATACAGTATATGGTGCATGTATATATATATATATATATATATATATATATATATATAACATATATAAGCATATATACAGTATATGGTGCATATATATATATATATATATATATATATATATATATATATATATATATATATACATATATATACATATATATATGGTATATATATATATATATATATATATATATATATATAAATCCTTTCATTTTAAAAAGTTACAAATTCAAAATTTCATTTTAAACAGACAAGAACAACCGAAGACAAATACAAATAGACTCGGATAGACAATTTCGAAAAGAAAGTGAAAGTTGACAATTTGGAAGAAAAACTGAAGGTAGGCAGTACAAAAAGAAAGTGAAAATAAACAGTTTCGAAGAGAAAGCTACTATTTGATTGTCATCTCCGAACTGGTGCAAATTAAACAAACTAAAGCGCCCGAGGCACACTAACCATATAAAAGCTGATAAATGAAGTCATAAAAAAAGACTGCACACACCACGGCAACAATGAAGCAATGTAAATTCTTTTGTTCACATGACATCTCTAAATTAACTTACAATTAACTGCTTGTCATTGTATTTTCAAAATTTAATTTTCTGCTACTTTTCACATGTCTTTCTTATTGTAGCAGGAAAAAACTCTTACCAAATAAAAAGAAAATGCAAAACTCTCCACTTTTGCACTGATAAACTCGCTATGCATAAACAATTGTCAGTGATCGTCCTCGAAGTTAGGACGATTCTACGTAAATTGGTTGAAGATAAAACGTACAAAAACTATTTTCGAAGTATTGCCGTCAGGGAGAGTGCAGAATTTTCAATACAAATTCTTTAACATATCTGTTTTCCACAATATAGATTGAAACTTGTGTTGCTTAAATGTAAGCAGGAGCCAAAACCATTATTATATATTTAGTATCTTCTTAACGTGCGACTGAATACAGCGAATATAATAATCTACTTAAATTTGGCATCTCCCTTTAGTGAAAAACTTTAAGGGAATAAGAACTAAAGGGAAACTTTAAAGAGAAAAATAAAGAAAGAAAAGCCAAGTGAGTTTAAAACTCACAAGACTAATTGATGCGTTTTTTACGGCTTATCAACCGTTTGCAGGTTATTTAGAGCCGTAAAATATTTTTAGAATGTAAGAATTTTCTTCTTTTTGACGATAATAATGATTTAGTGATACAAGTCTTAATAATTAATAATTAACCCATAGCCAGGTCGATTGGAGGTGAATTCATACCTTTTCCAAGTGTATTTGCACGTAAATGGATATAACGAACCTAACTGGAATTGGAACCCAAATGCCGCCCCGATTAACAATTACAAGCCGTTATCAATTACACCACCCGCACATCCAAGCGTACAGCGCCAACTATTCCCAAGCGCTCAACCATCTAGGTACTGACTAGGCTCGACGTTGCTTAACTTCTGTGATAGCACGGCAACCGGTGTTTATACTTTATATGACATTTAAGGCAAGAAAGAACAGGAAGAAATAGAGAGTGGCCAACCTAACAAGTTTATGCAAATAGATGACAAGAAAAGTGGAATAGTAATATGTCAGAAGATAGATACAAGAGTGAACGTTGTGGAGGTCCATGAACGCTCATGTTTTGAAGGTATTGGCATATTAACGAAGAATATTATATTCTTTATATTTATTCCCAAGGTAAATATGCCATCAAGGTTTGGGATTTCGTAATTGCTGAGTCATTCCATCTTATTAGGTTGTCACAGATGAAATGACGCACTTTATATTAAATGAATAAAACGCTTCTGAAATGTTAACCATGTTGATGAATGACTGTTCTCCGAGGTACCTCTAAGTTCTTGATCCCGTCTTTAAAAATATTCTCATCCTTTGATGTGATAAACAGTTCAAATGCTTTGATTACCTCTTCCGTCTTGGAGAATGTTTTATTGCGTGTGAAAAGCTCAAAATGCTGAAATAAGTGATACTCATAGGTGAATATTCAGTCTATGCAGCTTTTGGACAGTTTTTTTCCTGCAGCAAATTTGGGCCAATTTATACATGTCCTCTTTTCAAATCTATAATCCATGCAGAATATATTTATCTTTTAAATTTGACAGATTTTTAATATAACTCAAATTTAATCATTCAATTTATCTTTAAATTGCATCCAACGGCATTTATGGGATCCAACGGAATTTATATATATATATATATATATATATATATATATATATATATATATATATATATATATATATATATACACGTATACAAGAGGATTAAATTCTCCTCAGGAATATCTGGTTTCCATGGAAATCGAATGCATTAAACTATCTGTATTCCTATTGGGTTTGACCGGTCCGATCTGGTTTGTCTGTGACGAAAGAATTAATCGAATTTGTACATTTCGCGACATATTTCTTTCTTTTGTTTTAATCAACTCGAACTTTTCCTTGGGTTGGCCTTTATCCATATTGAATACCACTGACACGATTACGTAGTTTTTTTTTCTTTTCTGAAATGAGCGCAATGATTTAGGGATCTATAGGCAGTATTGTAATTTGGAAAAAATAGATCTAATATATTTCGATTGAAATAATGACAACCAAAAATACGGTACACTAAATAAAAAAACAAATTTACGTCAATTTCTGGCAAACTTGTTTCGACATTCATTATGGTTATCAAGTTAATCCTACAGAAAAATGCTTCTGAATTCGAGCCTAAATTGGTACCTTTCGCATGAGGTAAGCACCAGACTGAACGTTTCAGAGCGTGGAGAATTATGACTTTCCACAACTTCCTAATAGTTTTGGGAAGTGAGCTGCTAGATTAATCTTGGATATAGGTATGGGGGAATGTGTAAAGCCAATCACACGTTTTGGAAGAACTGATTTCAGATAAATGGCGTATAGTGTGTCACGAAATCTCCGAAAAGGTTTGAATTCAGTGATTGATATACTGGTTGCCAACTAAGGCTCGAGAGCCCAGTCTGCCCAGCCCATTTAACCCATAAATGGAAGTAGAGAATGGACACTCATACGTTGTACTTGGTAGCAATTCCGAGCTGCTCCCCGTTACACTAGTCACTCATCCATACACACACGCACGCACACACACACACACAACACACACACACACATATATATATATATAGTTTTAAGGTATGCTATTATTATGTGTAACAGGGTTCAGTATCAAATATAATATATGGCCCGAAGATTGTGTTCAAGCATGGAACAGACTATCACATGATTAATGGATTTATTTTTAATTCGACAGTTTTATATTACAAAACTTAATTGATATATATATATATATATATATATATATATATATATATATATATATATATATATTATATATCATACAATAGAAATTAATATTACATTAGGTTAAAGATCATTTTCACCTTGTAAATTGAAATAAAATTTACAAACTAGTCATTGGATGATAAATGATTGAAATAAAAATGGTCAAACAGAAGAAAGAAAGAAAGAAAGAAAGAAGGAGAAGGAAAAAGGAGAGCAAATAAAAACAAGGAAATAGTGTAAGTCTGGATATGAGGGGTCCTCAGAGGATAAAGGAACAAAAAATAAAAGGGAGAAAAAAAAAGAGAAGAAATAACGAATGAACTACCTTCTGGTTGCTACTGGGTATAAAATACCCAGTAGCAATCAGTGTACTTCAGAATTAAAGAAATCCTTCTTAAACGTTATTAACAAAAATAATATTAAATAAAGAGATAAACCCATTTATATGAAATAAAGTTAAATCAGAATTAAGGGTATATTAGAATAAACAATATATTAGAAAAAATAACATATTTATATACCAACAGTTATTACACACACACACACACACACACACACACACACACACACACACATATATATATATATATATATATATATATATATATATATATATATATATATATATATATATATATATATATATATATATTATGCAATGTTACATTGGAACATGTACATACCCATTACAAAACTGTGCATCTTATTTCAAGGTTAAAAAAGTAACGTATCTTCAGGTGGGAAATCATGATGGTACTAGCGTATTTTATTCCGAAATACAGTTAACGAAGCACATCTCCCACTTCCGTTTTTGGAAAATTACCAGACTTTATCTTATATGGAAAATTTACTTCAAAATTGGTACCCTATTAAACATGAGGTACTACACCAGACTAATCTTTTTTTTTTCTTTTGTGTTTTTTTTTTTCCTTTTCAGAATTTGGGAAATCCAGACTTTCCACACCATTCTATCCTTGGAAGCTCTTAGAAATATTTGACCCTTTCTATAATTCCCAATTCCTGTTCTGCTATCCATTATGTAATTTTATTGTTAAATTACCCAAACCCTATTTCCTCATTATGTATTCCAGAAATGTCAATTCTCTCTTTTTGATCCTAAACATAAGCGTCTTTTTGGTTAAAATTTCTTCATTGCTTAAATATTGTGTCTACAATATTCTCAACGTCCTTCCTTAGGACCACATGTCTGTTATCTTGGCTTGTTTTCATTCATTGCCATCTAGGAGGACTAATATGACATTACAGTCTAGCACTCTTTTCTTTATTTATAAACAAATTTTCCAGTTTCTTATTACTTTGTTTAGTTCTTGGAAGTCATATTTCCCCATTTCAATGAGCCTTTCTAATTCCTTGTAACATTTTCCATAGTCCGTTCGCAAAAGATGAAACTATGTTTAGCAAACACCTATATTTTGTCTTAGTTCTCAAGTCCAAATACAAAGACAGGATTTCAAATTCTGATTTAGTAGACAAACAAAACCTTCCTGAAAGTTATAATTACATAATCTTTTACTATTTTTGCTGTTTGGTAATGATCTGTATTTTGCCGTGCTTTTAAACATCTGCGGGTTATTATGTACGTAATTACAAATACGAAGGCGGCTTGTTCAGAGACTTTTAATTCAGTTTTGATTGCTACTAAATTAGCTTGGGGGTATATGACAGTCGTGGTTCATTTCGAGCCAATTTTGTTATTCCATCTTCGGAGATATTAATAATTCACATTTACGCAAGCAGATTTTCCCAACAGCCCAAACGAAGGACAAAACGCCGAATCCTGTTTATTTCATACTAAAATTCACTCAAGAGCCACTCAAAGTAGAACGTTATAGTTGAAGTGGTAACGATGATAAAGCGTGTGATATGAATGGAACAAGAAGAGAAAAATATGAGAATATGGAAGATACATAACGATTGGCCATTGAATTGAAGATTTCTCCCAATAACAGTCTCGAGAGTCAATCAAGGTAGAGGGTTAGTGTTAAAATCGTTATAATGAATGAGGTAGGTGATATGAATGAAAGAGGAGACGGTTGGAAGTGGTGATTATGAGGATAAAGAAAATAGAAAACGATTGGCCATTAACTTGAAGATTTCGCCCAATACAAGACTCGTGAGTCAATCAAGGTAGAGGGTTAGTGTTAAAATCGTTATGATGAATGAGGTAGTTGATATGAATGAAAGAGGAGACGGTTGGAAGTGGTGATTATGAGGATAAAGAAGATAGATAACGGTTGACCATTGACTGGAATAAATTAATATTGTAGAGCACATGGAAGCTACTACGCAGTAGCCTGTTCCACAGAGTAGACTTTCTTTGAGACAAGATGTCTCAGTGGAAGTTCCTTCTCATGTGGAGCAAATGATGGCGATTCTGCTCCGTAGAAGTAAAATGGATTGTTCTACTTGTAAAGTCATGAATTGGTGGAACTAAAGAATACAGTTCATGAAAAAAAAATGTGATAGAAATAGATTTAGAACTCAAGGCCTGAAAGTGAGGTCTATACGTTTCCAGCAGAGATATGACAGCAATACCACATTTCTAGTCTAATGTGATTCTTGTAAAGATAAAGAAGGAATCAAGTTTTACTGGCGGAGATAGATTGAGCTGACCATTTTTTATTCATCTTTAGTAATAGGCTATATATTAAGGAAGGTTGATTTTTCACAGTTTTAAAACTCAGCATTGCTCTGAGTCTTAACGCTGAGGTTTTTTATGAAAAGTACTACTACCAGAAATTAGATTCATAGCTTTTGTCAATTTTTGAGCATTTATTTTTAAATATCGTTTGAAGAATGTACAGAAATACCAAAGAGTTCAAAATTTTACTATTTCAAGAATAAATTCAAATAAATTTAATAACTTCTGCATTAAATAGATAGAATGGAAAATATATTCAAACCAGTATTTGAATTATAAATCACCACAAGCAAAATATGCATGTTTTTACTGTGAAAGATTACAAAGAAGTCTACTCAGTGTATAATATTTCTTAGATCATTTGTTAGATCATAATTAATACAAACAAGAAAATAGATAAAGCAGGATATAACACCATAATACTGCTGGGCACAAATTATAAGACAAAATGTTTTAAATTTGCATTGTTTATTGAGAACTAAAACTACTTCACTGTATAATATAT